TACCTTTTTTGGCTACACACATTATTGCACCGTAGCTCCTCAGATCTGCTAATTCTCCCAGGAACGAGAAATATGAATAAGGCAAAAAGGTTTGCTTTCGCTTTGCGCAATGCCTATCGAACAGGAAATTGATCCCAAGTTCTGCCCTTAAATTTGGCATCAGAACTGTGTTAGCTTGTGACCTTCTTCACTGCATCAAGATTAACATATAGTTTAATCGAGCGATGTTTCGGCAGTTTCAACTACTTCAGAGTAAGGTCAGTCAAAATTTATAAGCTACCTTACCAAATATCACAAAAACCCAGAACTTCCAATCCGCTAGTGAACTAACACGCATAACCAAAAACACATGATCAAGTTAATGCTCACCACAAATGCCAAAAGTTGAATTGGAAAAAAAGGTGAAATTACTATTCATAAGGGTTTTAAACGAGTTTGTGGAAAAATATATAGTGAAATGGAACTGATTACTAAAGAGAAACACAGCTGCAAGCCCATGTTGTTTGAAAGAAGCCTTATCAACGTAGCGGAACAAAAGTTCGTAAACAAGATTATCAGCGGATTTACATAGCGCTGTCGTATTTGGGGGTCATAACATATTTAGGCTAAATCGAGGCATGACTTACCACGTGGGATGCAGAGAAGAAACAAAACATGAATAATTTAGTTCCGCATAGTAAAGGACCCTAACCACTAGGCATAGAAATGCAGCAAAAGAAGCGAACACTATAGGAAGTAGAATTATGAAGTATCTCATAAATTTTTGTTCTATTTTGAACTCTTCTTTCGCCTACTTATGAGCTATTTCACATTATTCACGAAACCCACATTTCCACCTCTAAATAAAGCTCCTACTTTTATTCAAATACAAACATAGCATTGACTCGTAATAAATTCAATAGCAATGACTCGTAAAATATCAATTCTTCTAAAGTAAGTAGATAAACAAAGATATTCTAATTTTACGCATTCTGTAGTAAATAAGAAGAGTATAAATCAGATTATTGATAAAAGTTACTCTAGAGTAAGAACGGGATCAGAGCTTTGCGTTCTTTGGGATAATCCTGGAACTTGTTGAGGTACCACCTGAAAGATGTAAGCTTACTTGCCTTTTTCTTTCAAATGAGATGAAGCACAAATAATTCAAAAATGATACTTCAAGACAAAAAGCACTTACTGATGATGGTGAATGGCTCGAGGTCCAATGTTGCAAGCAGTGAAAATAGCAAAAGCTATGGCAGGAAGAGATCTCGAAGCAATTGCGTAGCCTGTCCATTCAATGATTTCACCAAGGAAGTTCGCTCCTGAGACGTACTCAAACATGCCGCCTATAAACAAAAACA